CAAGTACTGTAGTGCATTCCAAATAAACTAAAAACGAAATAATTCAAATAAAAATTGAGAAACCATATACAAAAAAATATTTGAAGACTAAAAATAGTAAAAAGCTATTTAAATACAGCAGACTTTGCGCATGTGTTAATTTTTTGTGAACTAAATTCTGCCAACACCATGAAACCTACACACCCTGAACATTCAATGCATACTCACAGGTGAGTGTGTTTTTCGAACAATTTTCAGCTAAAACACTCGCCTTCAAAACCTCCAACCCCCCACCGTTCCTCATCCCCCCCCCCCTCTATTTATCTCGCCATGTGTTAAAGCCCGGGGCACTCACTACTGCCGGTTAGCCACACACGCAAACACATTATGACATTTCATATACTACAATTCCAAGCACTCACCATAAACATAAGTGTCTGCACTGCAATATTTGTTTTCATATTTACCATGTTATCCTGCCAAATTCATCCACTTCCAGCTCCTTACTGTCCTCTATGCACATGCACGGCTAACCTCTAACACACACTGCAATTTTTTTATTAAAAAAGGCATGTAATATTCTAAAATATCTACATCTATGTACCAGGACTATCGACCTCCTCCTACACAATATAGCCACTATACAACAGCTACGACTAAATACATCAAGTCTAGATCGCGTGGTAAAGAATAAAAAGCATGCACACACACACACTCGCGTTCAAATAATTTTGTGTATATGCACCACCACATACATACTATGCATACCCACTTCAAGCACTACAAACATTTACTCCCTCCAACAACTTACATCCTTATACTTTATTCCTCTGCAGCTGTCTTCACATTCCTACAGCGATTACACAACTATCATTTTATTAACAATCTCACCACAGCATCCACTCACACAATCATTATTTATCATTTTTTCTGCTTACTAACTTTTACCTCCACCTATAATGTTCCTTGCGGAAAATGTCCGCTTCTCTTCACCAAAGCGGATTACAATAATTGATGCCATTCGTACAAGTGCTGCGATGGCTGCACCTATTGAGGACACTCCTGAACATCAAGGAGCAAGACAGCATGCTGCCAGTGCTGCTATGCCTGCACCTACAGCGAATGCATCTCATCAACAGCAATAAGCTACAAAGAAAACTAACACAGCACAAATGGCTGCTGCCACAGCTAATCAAACTTCAGTCCGCCAACAAGCACGGCAGCTTGCAAACAGTACTACAATTGCTGCAACCAGGTGCCTACCCTGGAGCCAAAAGGATAAGTACTTCTGATCTATTAGTTGCAATTAGTTCCATGTCTACTTCTTACAGCTACTGCCATGCAATGACATGGGCTATGCTGCAACAGTACCATGGTTCAGTTGCCTATACCGAGCCTATTCATGTATTGATACCTGACAAGCCATTTCCGAAACAATATAAGACAGAACTCATGGTTCCAAATAACATGTTTTGGCACCGACCCACTCATCCTAACATCTGGCTACATGCCCACATTTAAAATGCAGGGCCAGGTATATAATCGCATTGCAGTCTGCTGCAATTACCTAATGACCTACCTACGTTACCAGAGATTTACTTGCATGTCTGACAATACTAGACAGGCTCACCAACATTGCAAAAATGTCACCACCAAGATGCAAGTTCTATTGCTGTTGCAATACATGCTCCATAAGGAAAACTCTTACATTCACAGTTTCAAGTGTGCCATGGAGAAGATGACTTCAGAGTACAATGTTGTTACTCATGCAGACTAAACTCCACATGGTCAACATGAGTGCTGCTTAAATGCACTCACATCTAAAGTCGGTGTCATTCTGACTGCTGAACATGGTACTCGAGGCATCGCCTTGCAACTGAGGAACAATACCCTACACAGGAATGAAACACACCGATCCTATGATGCTCTTCAATGTCTACTGATTTTCTGGCAAGGTGATGATGGCTACAATTTCCTACTTCGCCAAACTGACCCAGCAACAGTCTTGGCAAGACAAAATAAGATTTCCGCCATGGACTGCTTTGCCTTCAGAATCATGGTGCGAAACGGCAACTTCAATCTCTTCTTGAGACGCAAAGAGCTCTTCCACCAACTTTCTGTCGACATGTATGCCAAAATGGAAGCTTCATTCGATTAAACCCACCAGATGGCAAAACAGCCAACATTGTCTATCCTGAAGCTCTCCAAGGGCAACGCATTTAAAAGCTGTCCTCATTATGAAACAAACAAGCCCTGCGATTATATAACACAACCAAACACCGTGACAATATTCACACTTTTACAGGCTTCATTGGCAGAATTCAATAATTGTGATTAAGCCAGCATGGCAAGACATTACTTTTAATGTTTTATTACTGAGACCTGAGCTAAGCCGGGTAACTTAGTTATTACTGGATAAATACTATACTTCCGATTAAGTTTGTGCGTGAGTGGGGAGCGGTAGTGCAACATTTAGCGTACTGCGCTATAAACCCAGCAAGACGATTTATATTCCCACAGAGCCAAGCCACAGCATTTGACTGTCGCTTGATGAAGCTGGTTGTAATTACTGTCAAAACGTTATACTCAAGATTGTAAATGTTGTGGCTTGGCTCTCCAACACACTGATGTGCTGTACTGGTGACGCATGGCCACATTCTGTTCACGTAACCTCTTACTAATTGGCTGTGTTGAGTGGTGGTGGTGTTAACGGAACATTTATTATTAACGCGATCTAACACAAACAAACCTCTATTATGGATGTATATTTGGAGTTTGCGTGTCTCTCTCTCCGTGGTCGCGTGGATTTTCCTCCGGATCCTGCGGTTTTCCCCTGCACATTTAGAGTCAACATCACCACGCGTTTAGAGTATTTGACCGACAAACATTTCCACAAGTTGATAAGCCCACTGTGAAGCTCAAGTGGGCTATGCCTGCTATAATAAAAACGTAGAAATATTTAAAATAAAACAAAGTTTCAAAGTAGTGAGCCAGGTGAAGACAAATTAAACTTAAGCAGAGAACTTATGCAATCAGGCGAGGGCAGGAGGCAAGGCCCTGCGCTGTAATGTTCCAACCTGGACATCGATTCCATACTCGCTGCTACTCAAGTGACATCCCTACGAGAGGGAGAAGGAGCGAGGCTCTTCCTGGGTCCACAACAACAACAACCACCACAACAACAACCACCACCACAACAACAACAACCACCACCACGATGTAAACTTCTCACCTCGGATCTCAGTGAGCGCACGAGCAGCAGCTAAATGGTAACTCGTGACGTCATGCGGCAGCAAGTGACATGACGTCACTTGCGGGGTTCACACAATCCCCGCCCCCAACGAACAGCAGGGTAACTGAATAGATAATATTTTTTATTTAAAGCTTTCGTGACTGCAGGGATTCATATTCTTAGCTCTTTCGGTAAAGCCACGTTGAAGGGAAACAATAAAATAATAAAATATACTCCCTCCAACAACTTGTAAGCCATCTGGCTACCATGAGAGATTCGTTCATGAGGCTATCCACATATACAAGCACAGAGACAATTTCAACCGAGAAGATGGATTCTGGCTTAGCAATCATTGGAAAGATTTGATTAACCATTTCAGCTCTTAGTTGATTGTTCACGCTTACAGTGGCTTTCAGACAGCATACATTAAATTTTTCGTCTCCCCCCCTCCTCTTTTCAGAACATAGATGGACTCGTCCTTCTAAATAAACTGCCAAATCGCTGCGCGTGGCGCTGACGTTTTTTTATAAATAAATACACCGTTTGAAAATAAATAAATTAATGCGAACCGACACCCCTGATGACGACCGTTTGTGTTATGGTCGAAACGTCGTGAGAATTTTTATTGTTTTATATATATTTTATTATTTTATTGTTTCCCTTCAACGTGACTTTACCGAAAGAGCTAAGAATATGAATAGATTATGTTAATGAGCGGTGCCCATGTCAGGTGATGGGGCTTGGTTGCTGAACCCGTCGCAATGAACTCGCGACGGTATTTATGAATAAATTATGTTAATGAGCCGTCAAAAACTGATTGTAGCTTTGCCCAAATAAGCATTTTACTGGAACGAAAATCGGCAGCGACCAACCAGACGTGACGTCACGCTCAAAATCCCGGTGGAGGGGGATTCGGGGGTCTGAATACCTTCGTGACATGACGTCACTTTTGGGGGACACCTCCCCCTCGCGTCTCACGCCGAGTTAACGAGTGGTGACGTCAGAAAGCGAGATTCCATTTCTATGGCTCCCTCCCTTGAACAGACCCCTTGGGTGCATGAACATTGTGTGTGTGTACACTGTGTGTACTGTGTGTACACTGTGTGTGTGTACACTGTGTTGGCGCAGTCGGGGGCACAGGTGGTGCATTGGCCAGTCCTCTCAGTCGACCCATGACACCTGGGTCTGCCCCGTGCACATTGCCTGGCACAAGCGCCGTGGTGACGTCACCGCCACTTAGTGGCCAATGGCGGTTGTTGTTCTTGTTACCGTGTGTGTATACACTGTGCGTGGACACTGTATACTGTACGCTGTGTTGTTGTATATGCCGGGTATTGAAAAATTTGATTAAAATAATAAAAATTTAATGAAATTTGGGAATATGCGTAATTGTCCGAAATTATGTTAATTTGTGTAACTATGTGCATAATTTATGCTAAATAGAGAGGCGTAATTGTATTAAGTTATGCAATTGCATGAGATTATGCTAATGATATCCATTATGATAATTAGGCCCTGCCTCGCTGACGAGGGTAGTATTCTCAATCGGGATCGTACAATTCATTGTATGAAGTTACGCAGGTGTGCTGTAAGTATGCTAGATTTAGCTCGGCTTCGTTGTCTAGGTTCGTATTATCAATCGGTATAATACAATTATTCTCGCTTTAACATTTACTGATTATGTCTTAGTGTTTTTATATCAGGTCTCCAAATTCAAATCTCACCGCAGGATACAGTTCTTATAATTAAGATTATTACGCATGAACTTAGGAAGGCACCACTCAGACACTTCTGGGTTAAGCAATTTTAATTTCTAAACAAAAACATAACACTCTAATATGCGAACTCTTTATGCTTGGAATTATCAACACAGTACTCCTGGAGATGTTCTCCTCATCGATCCATACATTAAACCCTCAATGATCACGTTTGTTAAACTGGCTAATAGAATAATTTATTAATTCCTTAGAGTAACGCGCTCATATACGGTGATAGGAAAAAGTCCTTAAAAATTCATGCAACGATAGTCATATGAAGGGCAATAAAGAAGCATGTCCCGAAGGCAAAAGTATAAGGCAATGAATTCATTGGGAAGATTATGTAATTACGAAATGTCTTGGAACAATGGTGTGCGACAGTGTGCCTGCTTCAGCAAATGCTTATCAATTGGCTGAGGCTTCAATTAATTCGCGGGCAAGATTCTGTGATCAAAATCACGATTTCAACACAATATTCTCCCTGTGAGTGTGTAGATTCGTAACGTAGGTTTATAAAAGTTTAGTTTCATCAATGAATTCATTGGTAATAGTTATGCAATTAAAAGAGAAAAAAATAACGACTAAAATACTTCGAAATGACTGTGTCCACGTAACTCAATGGGACGAAATGTTCTTCGTTATCAGCTAATAGTTGACACACTTATCACGAGTCTTCTTGTACGTGTTAATGCGTGAGTGTTGTTGATCTTCTTGCGTTAAGCAAACGCCGAGGTTGGGCATCCCTTGTATCAAATGTGTTTGTCCCCTGTGGAGCGGTGAGGGTGTGATGGTTGGGCGAGTCTTACAACGGCTTCGTTGCTTTTTCTTGCTCGGGGCGTCGGCTAAGCTGCCCGTCCGCTGGTAGATACAGGCTCTTTCCACTGCTGGAGGAGCTGCGTCGGCACATTGCTTGTCCTTGAAGATGCTCGATCGCGCTTGCCGCTGGTCCGCTGGCAGCAGCAGGCTCCTTCCACTGCTGTAGGAGCTGCGCCGCACGCGCTCCCTCCTGCCCCGTGCTCTTTGTCGATGCCCGATTGCGCGTGCAGTTCGATCGCTGGTGGCAGACACCCTTGCTCGGTGGAGCTGCTGGTGGGAGCTGGCACTCAGGATAGAATGACTTTGAGCGATATTTCTTCTGTCAGCTCTAAACTCGTGTTCGGCGACACGTCGCTACTCGGCAAGTCTCCCCATCCCTGGTTGATTGCAGAGTCTCACCCCGGAGATTGCCGCCCTCTTGTGTCGCTCGCCGAGCTGTCCCTGGCCGAGCTGTCCCTCGTCGAGCTCCAAATTGTGTCGTGTTGCTGTTTATATCCGAACAATCTCCCCTCTGCATGTCTCTTGCGAGAGAAAAAAAAACAGATGCTTATTTTGTCATGCTCTCCCCCCGCGACCGCGCCTGATCGCCCCCCAATCTTCCCTTGGTGACCCCGGGCGGGCTGCTTTACATCAAATTGATGTTTGTTTGCACTCCCAACCCCTCTCGTGGCGTTTGCCAAGGGAGGGAACGCACCTTTCATCCGTATTTATGGCTTCCATTTGTTTGTGTCGAATTGTTGGAAGACAAAGGCGGCCAGGGAGGCTCTGATTTCATGGAATACATATTATGTGGTCTTGTGTGTTTGACCTATTTTCTTGTACTTCTAATGAGTTACCCTAGGTCTAATCTCCCGTGATAATTATTTGGTTTATGTTTAACCAAGATTTGTAATGTCATTAGATGTTACCTCCGGTATTTCAAGGGTTTTATTACTTTTTGCTCCCTGTCTGCATCCAGGGATCCGTGCTTTTTATTTTCGAGGTCCGAGATATAGCTTAGTCTGGACTTAAGTTTTTGTGATTGCAGGAACTCAGGTACTTTGGTTCTCTTGGTAAAGTCACGTAGATAGAAAGATACAATAAGAAATAATATAAGGAATACTGCAGTCTGTAATGTCGACTTATTCTTATAGCCAAGCTTCAACTGTTTCCGTACGAAAAAATATCAGTTATAATGTCCGTTTGCCCTGTGCTCTGTGTCCATGCCTGTGATTCTGGATATTTGTTTGTGAACTGTCCAAAGCGCCAAGCAGGTCATGGCATGCGGTCCTTTGGCAATCTGGAGATTTTGAAGATCGTCGCTAACCTCATTTGCCCCGGAGTTTATTATTTAATGGCCTTTTACGACCTCCAGATGCTTGGTGCTTGTGGAAGGTAGCGGGTTTGAGGGTGTTTTATTTTATCGATTATAAAAAAAAATATTCTTAGCTCTTTCGGTAAAGTCACGTTGAAGGGAAACAACAAAATAACAAAATATATATAAAACAATATATTTTATCATTTTATTGTTTCCCTTCAACGTGACTTTACCGAAAGAGCTAAGAATATGAATTACTGCAGTCACGAAAGCTTTAAATCAGGGGTCGGGAACCTTTTTGACTAAGAGAGCCATGAAAGCAAAAAATTTGGAAATTTATTTCAGTGAGAGCCATATAATATATTTTTAAAGTGAATTCAACTAAATGTCAGTATAATAAGCCTCTGAATTTATTCTTTTAAATAATGTTGTTATAACACTCACCATTAATGCGACTTCTGGTGCTGCATGGATTTGCTGATGTCTTTGTAGTCGGGTTGGTACTTGGTGAGGTTAAGCTTCATGCAAGCGTTGAGGCTTTCATCCGTTAAACGTGATCGTAGGTTGGACTTGATGTTTTTAAGATGTGAGAATGACTGCTCACATGCATACGTAGATCCAAACATGGTCAATACAGCAATACTCACACGCTGCAGTGTGTGGTATGTGACAGGAAGCGCGTTCCAAGTTTTGAGAATCAGCTGGTCTTCGGGTTGGAGTTTTTTAATTTCTGTCCACATGTGCTTGCTCGCCAACTCCGCTTTCTGTCATGTGATTCTTTCCAAATCTTCATTCAGTGACTTGAACTTATTCACCCACATGTCTGAGGCCTTCAGGTCAGCCACTTCTGCTTCAAAATCTCTGACGGAGACACCAGGGATGTAATTCAGGTCGGCTGTGTTCAGTGAACACTCGTTTGGATGGGTGATGAACTTAAAAAGACGAGTGTGCTCACGAAATTCTCCAAAGCGTGCTTTGAAGGACTGTAGGAGACTGGATGTGCAGCCAGCTAGCTGGTGGAGATCAAGGTTTTGAATGGGCTCACTTGCTGTGCATGCATCTTTAAATTGGCTCAGTTTTTCAAAATGTAGTAAACGACCTGTTTCAAGATCCGTGATGAAAAGCTCCAGCTTGTTTTCAAAAGCAAATACAGCTTGTTGAAGGGATAACACTGTATTTCCAATGCCTTGCATTTTCACGTTGAGCTGGTTCAGATGTTCAGTCAGATCTACGAGATAGTAAAACTTGAGGAGCCACTCGGTGTCGGCTAGCTCAGGATGCCCGACGCCTTTCATTTCAAGGAAAGTCCGGATTTCGTTCAGGCAAGCCGCAAAACGGCTAAGCACCTTCCCTCTTGACAACCAACGCACATTGCTGTGCAAAAGCAGACCAGGATAGTTATTTACAACTTCATCCAGCAGTGTTTTAAACTGGCGATCATTTAAGGCTCGGGCAACAATAAAGTTGATCACACGAATGACCAGCGACATCACTTCGCCAAACTGCCTGTCACACATCTGAGCACAAAGTGCCTCCTGGTGTATAATGCAATGGAAACTTAGGATGGGTCTATTTTCATGTTCACGGAGAAGCGCCACAAATCCTTTGTTTTTCCCCACCATACACGGAGCACCATCAGTACACACTGAGAGAAGTTTATCCATAGGTAGACTTTTTTCTTGAGCAAACTCCATGAAAGACTTGAATAAATCCTCACCTCTTGTGGACCCTTTTAATGGCAGAACAGCAAGACTTTCTTCGCGCAGTGTGTCACCAACAGCATATCTTGCAATCACGCTGAACTGCGACAAATGGCTCACGTCTGTTGACTCATCCAAAGCCAGAGAAAAGAACGGCGCTGCATTTATGTCCTTCACTTGCGTTTCCTCCACTTTGTTTGCCATCACGATGGTACGATCATGAACAGTTCTTGCCGACAGAGGCATGTCTTGTATCCGTTTGATTATCTTGTCTTTGTTCGGAAGATCATCAAAAAGTTCATTGGCTACATCCAGCATGAACGTTTTAGCATACTCGCCATCTGTGAATGGTTTTCCGTTCCTCACTATTGCTAAAGAACCAGCAAAGCTAGCCGAATTATAGTCACCTTGCCGGGTCCATACGCGGAGTTGCTGCTGGCTAGCTTGCACCCTGCTCAGAAGCTCTTGGCACGCTTTCTTTCTGCTGTCTCCCGCAGGGTATTTGATGCAAAGGTAGCGTGGCGCGTGTCGAAGTGCCGCTTTACATTCGACCGTTTCAACGATGTAATTTTGTCATTGCAAATTAGACACACCGCAGAACCCGCTCTCTCCACAAAGGCGAATTCTTCGGTCCATTCGTCCTGAAATGTACGATACTCGTCGTCTTTTTTTCTTTTCGCCATCTTCTTCGTCGAAGGGTTAGCTTTGAGCTAATGACCGAGCAGACGCAGTCTCAGACTGATTCAAAAGGGGGCGTTTACCTGTTTTACCCAGCAACGGCAAACGTAGGCCAGTATCATCGAAAAATCGATGGATGGATTAAAACAAGTGAGAATATTTTGTTTTATCTGCGAGCCATATGCAATCATCAAAAGAGCCACATCTGGCTCGCGAGCCATAGGTTCCCGACCCCTGCTTTAAATCAAAATTTATTATAAAAAATGTCAGAATTATTTTTAATATTCATTTTTGGAAAAAAGGCCTATATATACAAGTGTACATGGTGTGTGTACACCTTGTGGGTACACTGCCTGTGTGTACACTGTGTGTGGGTGGTCCGAATCAGTCGGGCGGCATTATAATTTCATCAGCTGCGCTATGCTGTGTGGAAGCTACCTGGTCTGTCGCTCCGGTTCTTCTCGGCCACAGTAATGCCCTCCCGTCAATAGGCATGTGAAACGTGGACCCCTCTAAATGGAACATCTGTGCTAGTTAAACATTCAGGCTGTCATGCCTACACTCAGATTGAGGGAAGCCAAGTGGTCGCACATTCTCTTATTGCAGAGGTTCAAGGTTCAAATCCGAAAGGTACGCATGGCTACTCCAGTAACATTAAACAAAATATGCACCGTCTGCTTAACAGTGATGTAAAACATACTATTATCATTCAAAACGCATAGGTCATTGCATGTTGGTGTCATGGTCAATATTTGGTTAATTCCAAACATCGAAAAATTACATAATGGAGATTGCACATCAATCATCGCCCCCTACTGACAGACTCATGCCCACATGCAGGCTTGAGCAGGGTCACCTTATGACACAGAGAGGCAGCTGCCACTTGGGGGTGCTCTTTGAGTGTTTGTGATGAGATATGAAACAAACCTGAGTTGGTGAGGCGATAAACGAAGCACCGTATCAATGCAAATATGAATATAATAGTGGAATCCTTGGGAGGTTATTGGCTCTTGCTCCTGGTTATTCATCTACCCAACCCACAGGTCAACAAATATTCGCTGCTCTTCCTCTGCAGGTTGAACCCAGGAATTGAGTGTTCGACTTCACGTTCTTTTCATTCAAGGCCTGTGATAAAGGTGAATCTATTAGCGCTTCATTGTCTCACGCTTAAACATCTACCGGGTCTCCAATTGACTTTGTATTGTCTAAGAAGTCCACCCACACCTCCACTTCCACAAACTGCTGGGAGTTGCCTCGCTCTGCCTCACAGTGAGAATTCTCCTCCTGCTTCACGTTGCCTCCATCGATGTGAAGGTCCCATTTTGGAGTTGAATCATCTTCACAGTTTACCGTAACTTTTTCGCTCTTCACCATCACTTCTTCACATTTCACCTTCGCCTCTTCACATTTCACCTTGATACCTTTAAAAGTGTCCAAGCTGGGATTTACTTCTGGTTCTGGTTTCATGAGGGATGGGCTCATTGCAGCACTTTGACTTTCACAAGCCGATTTCAGACTCCACTCCTTGTGGATCTTTTGATGCTTGTGTGTCCTCTGGTGTGTTTTAAGATCTGATGACCGTGCAAACGCCATCCCGCACGGAGTGCACCTGAAGGGTTTCTCTCCTGTGTGTGTACTCTGGTGTAATACAAGAGCAGATGACTGTGCAAACGCCTTCCCACACAGAGTGCACCTGAAGGGTTTCTCTCCCGTGTGTGTTCTCTGGTGGTACTGAAGATGTGATGACTGTGCAAACGCCTTCCCGCACAGAGTGCACCTGAAGGGTTTCTCTCCCGTGTGAGTTTTCTGGTGGTTCTGAAGAACTGATGGCCATGCAAATGCCTTCTCACAGACAGTGCACTTGAAAGGTTTCTCTTTTGTGTGTGTTCTCTGGTGTTTTTTAAGATCTGATGACTGTGCAAACGCCTTTCTGCACAGAGTGCACCTGAAGGGTTTCTCTCCTGTGTGTGTTCTCTTGTGTAATACAAGAGCAGATGACTGTGCATATGCCTTCCCACACAGACTGCACCTGAAGGGTTTCTCTCCTGTGTGTGTTCTCTGGTGTAATACACGACCAGATGAATCGGAAAACGCCTTTCCGCACAGACTGCACTTGAAGGGTTTCTCTCCCGTGTGTGTTCTCTGGTGTGTTTGAAGATGTGGTTGCTGTGCAAACGCCTTCCCGCACAGAGTGCACCTGAAGGGTTTCTCTCCTGTGTGTGTTCTCTTGTGTAATACAAGAGCAGATGACTGTGCAAATGCCTTCCCGCACAGACTGCACCTGAAGGGTTTCTCTCCTGTGTGTGTTCTCTGGTGTAATACAAGAGCAGATGAATGTGAAAACGCCTTCCCGCACAGACTGCACTTGAAGGGTTTCTCTCCCGTGTGTGTTCTCTGGTGGTTCTGAAGAACTGATGACCGTACAAATGCCTTGTCACACACAGTGCACTTGAAGGGTTTCTCTCCTGTGTGAGTTCTCTTGTGCTGTGTCAAATGTCCAGTTTGATCCGTGCTGTATGCACACTGGTCGTATTGTTGCCTTTTTGAACCAAGCCGCGCCGAGTGCCTTTGCTCCATCAGACCAATTCTGCAGAGGAAGTGTCAGCTGCAGACAGAAAAAAAGAATATCCACACCATCTACGTCAGTATCGAGGCACAGAGGAATGCATATATACACAGTGACACATGACTTACATGTCTATACTAATTCATATGATCATATAGTGAAAAATATTCCCAAATTCATCACATGGGCTGTTATGACAATGAGAGGGCAAATGGTCATAAATATGCCTGTAAGCCCAAGTACCTTCAAAATGAATGTTAACTCAAAACTCCAAGCACACAATTTCAGTTGTCTGGCTACAAAAGGAATATTTATGAAAGCTAAATTCAGCTAACATAGCAAAGGGTGTTGAAAATAATACTATTTGTATTTCGATTTAAAGCTTTCGTAACTGCAGGGATTCATCTTCTTGGTTCTTTCGGTAAAGTCACGTAGAATGGAAATAAAATAGAAAATAAAACGAAATAAAATTCTCACGACGTTTCGGCCACAATACAAGTAGCCTTCTTCAGGTGAAGAAACAGGACTGTCCAGAAGACAGCGCTCGAGTGAACACTGCCAAGAATGGACCGCGTCTTTTAAGCTGCGTTAGCAGAATTAACATATGAATTAGTATGTTACCCAGCCCCACCTCCGGAGCGGATGAGGGGGGGGGGGGGGGGGCGCCTGGGCACACAGAAAAAGAAAGAAGAGCCAAGGTGCGCTACTCTGTCCTGTGTTGCGTTATAACCTGGACTACTATACAAAACAATATTATACCTTTCCAATCTAAACTACATGGTATAATATCACATCCATAGACAAATTCCACCTTTGAAATATACAATGCATTACTAAACACTACCCTATACTTTAGACTATAAAATATTACACTTGTAATATTACACTATGTCTTATTCTATCAACCCTACTGTATACCACACTGCTGTATATTCACTATACAATTACGATACTATATATTACCTTATGAAATGTTAAACATTACAATGTTATACTATTTATTATTATACCACATGCTATAAACCATACCATTGACCGTCGTGTGAAAGGTATTAAGAGGCAGTGCCAGCGAATGGACTGCGGTCTGAAGGTCACCGTAAAATACAATCAATTAAGAGATGCCGCGACTCTAAGGTAATACCAACCGCATTTGCACTAACCTCTGCTGCTGTAACTTCTTTTAATGCCAAACGAATTCTAGCTAGAACTAGCTTAACTCTTATCTCAGACAAAATCAGACTTACGTGCACCGAACTAGATCAGTTAGACAAGACACTCTACAAATCACACTTATCATTGACGGCCATAATGTCTACATCGGATTGGGAACATGTAGACAATATGACTGCCTCTTCAGCTGCCACTATGTCGACCAAATGTAAGGACAATTTGATTTCCAAAATCAACCGGCTTTCCAACAAGAAATCGGACCCACACACCGAAAAGCTAGACGTTAACAAAGTCATAATTAATCGCAGTAACAGTTCTATTTATGATGGTCTGAAAGCCGTTTTAGCTAAAGGGCTAAACTTTGCAGTCACACCTAGACACATACCAGTTAATGATATCATTGCCCATGTCGACGTGGCACTCAAGGGCCTGGGTCACATCGCTGCAGACGTAGCAAGATCTGAAATCGCTGCAACCCTCAAAAATGCTAGGATGCCACCTAGCAACATCAGCAAAGATGAACGCTTTGAATTATCTCAATTAAAAAAGAGAGATGACATTGTTATCCTCTCAGCCCAAAAGGGCAACGCCACTGTCATCATGGACAAAATAGAATATAACAACAAAATTCAGGAACTACTCAACGATGGCAGCTATACAAAAATAAGAAGAGACCCCACCAACAGCATGGTTACTAAAACCAACAAAATCATTTCTGATTCAACAGCATTAACTGATCAAACCAAACAGTTCTCGTTGAAACTTTCTGCGGCCAGACCACCAAGATATGGCCTTCCAAAGATACATAAAGATACACCCCTTATTCCCATCGTCTCCACTATCAACTCCCCCACCTACAAACTGGCTCATTTTCTATCTGATATCCTGCGACCTTTTACTGGAAAAAAACACTTCTGCAGTAAACTCTACTCACCTGGTATCGACAATCAAGGGTATTTCCCTGTCCCCAGACGACCTGCTTGTCAGTTTTGATGTGGTTTCCTTATTCACCAAAGTTCCAGTACCTGACACCATCGCAATAATTGAAGACTTGGTTCATCAAGGACTGCATACTGATGTACCCCCCTCGTGAGACACTGCTTAACCAACACATACTTCACCTGGAATGGAACTTTCTACAAACTGAGGGCACCCCAATGAGCTCCCCCCTATCTCCAGTTGTAGCCAACGTGTTCATGGAAAAATTTGAAACTGACGCCATCCAGACTGCCACTCTACGCCCGACCTTATGGAGAGGTACGTGGATGACACTTTTATCATCTGGCCACATGGCCGGCCTGCTCTAGACCAATTCCTCGACCACATCAATTCCATACACCCAGCCATCAGATTTACCATGGAGGTCGAAAAAGATGGCAAGCTACCCTTTTTGAATGTCTTAAAAGGAGACCTGATGGTTCAATGAGCCACTCTGTCTATAGGAAAGCTACCCATACAGATGCTTACTTAAAACCGGATTCCCACCACCATCCATCACAGAAGAACTGCCTCATCAAGACTCTATACCATAGAGCCCAATGCATTTCCGACCAAGAACACATTACCAGTGAACTCAAGCACGTACACCAGGCTCTCAGGGCTAATGGCTACTCCGACTACACAATCCGCAAAGCCATCACTCCAGTCATGAAGAAGGATCCTCTTGTGGAGCCACTCAAAACCATCACCTTACCCTACATTGCAGGGGTCACTAAAAAGATCTCCAAAATCCTGAATAAACACAAGATCCAGGTCCGATTCAACACAGTACACAAAATCCGTGATTTAGTTCCATCTGTAAAAGATGCTCTTCCAGACATACAGTACCCGGGCGTTTACAAACTAAAGTGCCTCTGTGGTAGTAGCTACATTGGAGAAACCAAAAGACATATCTCGGACCGCATCCGCGAACATAAAGCAGACTTGAAACACGGTAAGACGAACTCCTCTGCCGTGGCAGATCACTGTTACAATTCAGTGGGCTCACATGACATTGACTTCTCCAAGACGGAGGTTCTTTGCAAACCAACTGGCTACCATGAGAGATTCGTTCATGAGGCCATCCACATATACAAGCACAGAGACAATTTCAACCGAGAAGATGGATTCAGGCTTAGTAACCACTGGAAAGATGTGTTAAATCATTTCTGTTCTTAATTAATTGTAATTTTACGATGACCTTCAGACCGCAGCTCTTTCGCCAGCATTGCCTCTTAATACCTCTCACACCACGGTTAATGGTATGGTTTACAACATGGAGTATACTAGGGCTTCGCAGCTGTCTCTCTCCCCCTCCTCTGTTCCGACCATGGACGAACTCGTCCGTCTGAACGGGGCCCGTAGCTATCCGTGGTACGGAAATTTGAGGGTAAGAATCCACCCATTTTTTCGCCATATAGCATTGTGATATATAACGACTTATGGTTGGTAGCTTAGCTGATTGGAGAATATAGAGTTTATTGATAACATGAAGGTAATTTATATTTTAGTTTTTATTGGTTCACTATATAGTACTGTGAATAGCTCAGATGTGTAGTCATTTCTGTGACCAGTCACTAGCAAATCACCCAGTTATTTCAATGCTAAATTCGCCTAGTTATTTCAATGCTAAATTCTCCTGTTTGATTTGTACTAAGTGCCTCGGTGAATGTGTATGCTCTGACTTTAACGTAACTATTTCTGTAGCAGTTACAAGCGAATCACTCAACCTTTTCAATGCTAAATTCTATGCTAATCCCATTATTAAGGGGTGCCTCTGCGGATGTGTATGCCTTAATTTAGCTATTTCAATGCTAAATTCTATGCTAATTCCTTTTAACAATGGGTGCCTCTGCGGATGTGTATGCTTTAACTTTTAACATAGCTATTTCTGTGACCAGTCACAAGCTAATCATTCAGCCATTTCAATGCTAAATTTTATGCTAATTCCTTCGTCAAGGCTCTTTGTTCCTCTCACACAGCTTAAAAGCCGTGATCTGAACGTGGCTCTCTCACTCCAGCGCTGTCCTACCAGACAGTCTCGCTCCCTTCACCTGATGAAGGCCGCTTGTGTTGTGGCCGAAACGTCGTGAGAATATTATTGTGTTATTTTATTTTATCAATTTATTATTTTATTCTCATTCTACGTGACTTTACCGAAAGAACCAAAGAAGATGAATCATTGCAGTCACGAAAGCTTTAAATCGAAATTCAAACTCTAATTGTTGAGTTCATAATACAGTGATAACACTGTGTAACACAATTTTTGTTCCTGGGTACCAAGTGTTATTTTTTAATTGTTTATGCCTAAAAATTATATAAAATGGCTATTATTCCCCACAAACTTTGCTTTTGTGACCAGGATTTTACGTGAACGAAAATAACAAATTCACCCGTTTTCTCATTGAAAATAGGTCAATTTCAAAATATCACGGTCCTGGTCACAAAAGCCAAGTTTGTGGAGAATAATAGCCATTTTTGTACCTTCGAGGCATAATCAATTAGGAAATAACACATACTACCCAGGAACAAAATTGTTTTTGTTACATAGCGGAATAACTGCGCCACCGCTCCCCACATAAACTCTTACATACACATACATTTCACATGAATGCTATGCAAGTGTGGATCGCTTGTCAGCAGGTCATGGGAATGATCCAGGTGTCAAGGGATGACTGAGATGATTAACAGATGTACCAGCTGTGCTTCCCGCTGTCTTGCTGCATTTTAGCAGCAACACTACAGTCAGTAGAGCCTACCACACCGTCCCCCGAGCAGCACTAGGACACTGACCATGCCATGGTCCACCTGATTCCTGCATACAGGCAGAAACTAAAACTCTAAACCTGCTGTGAGGACATCTAAACAGTGGACCAGTGAGGCTGTGGAAGATTTGCGGGCATGCTTAGACTGTACTGACTGGGATATGTTCACGACTGCTACCATTAGTCTGGATGAACTCACAGAGGCTGTGACGTCCTACATCAGCTTCTGTGAGGACTGCTGTATCCCAACACGTACCAGGGTGAACTTTAACAACAACAAGCCCTGGTTCTCAGCAAAGCTCAGAAGGTTGAGGTTGGAGGAGGAAGCGTTTAGGAGTGGGGATAGAGAAAGATTCAAGGAGTCGAAGAACAGGTTTAGCAAAGCGGTGAGAGAGGCTAAACGACTGTACTCAGAGAGACTAAAACACCAGTTCTCTACTAACGACTCTGCTTCTGTCTGGAAAGGGCTCAGGCAGATCACCAACTACAAGCCCAGAGCTCCCCACACCACTAACGACTCCCGCCTGGCCAACGACCTGAACGAGTTCTACTGCAGATTTGAAAGACAATTGGACTGTCCTGAACTACCCCTTCCCACCCAAGAGGCCCCATCCCCCACCCATACTACAGAGACGACTCTCTCCTTTCAGGAGGGAGAAGTTAATAGACTTTTCAAGAAGCAGAATCCACGCAAAGCAGCCGGCCCGGACTCTGTCTCTCCAGCCACCCTGAGGCACTGCGCTGACCAACTGTCTCCGGTGTTCACCAACATCTTTAACACCTCCCTGGAGACATGCCATGTACCAGCCTGTCTCAAGTCCTCGTCCACCATCATCCCTGTGCCCAAAAAGCTAAGGCCAACAGGACTAAATGATTACAGACCGGTCGCCCTTACATCTGTGGTAATGAAGTCTTTTGAGCGCCTGGTCCTGGCACACCTCAAAGCCATCACAGACCCTCTCCTGGACCCCCTTCAGTGTGCCTACAGAGCCAACAGGTCTGTGGACAACGCAGTGAACATGGCCCTCCACTTCACCCTACAGCATCTGGACGCCCCAGCATCCCACGCTAGGATCCTGTTTGTGGACTTCAGCTCTGCCTTCAACACCATCATCCCTGCCCTGCTTCAGGACAAGCTCTTCCAGCTGAACGTGCCCTACTCCACCTGCAGGTGGATCACAGACTTCCTGTCTGACAAAAAGCAGTGCGTTAAGCTGGGAACACAAGTCTCTGATTCCAGGTCCATCAGCACCGGAACTCCTCAGGGCTGCGTCCTTTCCCCACTGCTCTTCTCCCTGTATACCAACAGCTGCGCCTCCAATCATCTGTCCGTCAAACTCTTGAAGTTTGCGGATGACACCACCCTCATTGGGCTAATCTCTGGTGGGGATGAGTCTGACTATAGGTGGGAAGCTGACAACCTGGTGACCTGGTGTAGCCAGAACAACTTAGAGCTAAATGCTCTAAAGACAGTTGAGATGGTTGTGGAATTCAGGAAGAATACAGCCCCACTCACCCCCATCACCCTGTTAGACTCCCCAGTCAAAATTGTAGAGTCCTTCCGCTTCCTGGGCACTATTCTCTCCCGGGACCTCAAGTGGGAACTGAACATCAGCTCCCTCACCAAGAGAGCTCAACAGAGGATGTACTTTCTATGGCAGCTAAATAAATTCAACCTGCCAAAGACAATGATGGTGCAATTCTATACAGCAATCATTGAATCCATCCTCACCTCCTCCATTACCGTCTGGTACGCTGCTGCCACTGCCAAGGACAAGAGCAGACTGCAGCATATCATCCACACTGCTGAGAAGGTAATTGCCTGCAATCTACCAACCCTCGAGGACCTGCACACGACAAGGACCATGAGGCGAGCGAGGAAGATTATGGCCGATTCCTCCCACCCTGGACACTCTCTGTTTCAGCTACTCCCCACCGGCAGAAGGCTTCGGTCCATCAGGACCAAAACCTCACGCCATAAAAAGTTTCTTCCCATCTGCTGCTGGCCTGTTAAACAAGGCCAAGGGCTTACACTGATTTTAACATTTTATCTACATGACACCTTGCTGATATTAACTATGTTAACCTATTTGTATTTTTTATTTTTAAATTATATCTTAAAGCTATTTTATATTCGATATTTATTCAATTTTATATACTTCAGCCCCTTGGTGTTATTTGACTTTTCACCCTTATTATAGTAAGACTTGTTTAAAACATATTTAAGATTTTAGATTCCTATATGTTGAATGTATGCACCATCCTGCCAAAGTAAATTCCGTGTCGGTGTGAACTTTCATGGCGAATAAAACCCTTTCTGATTCTGATTCTGATAGGCACCCAGCGTTCCACCCATTCATGTGAGCGTTGCTACTCCGGCCTCATTGTTGTTGCAGAGCAAATACCTCCAACTGCCCTGCAGCATATGTCACGGGCCTCTTCAACAGAAGCTGATCTTGACACTCCAGGTACCAGTCATCAGCAGGTCTGATCACCTCCACATCCTCTAATCGCTTCTCAAGCCAATGCCATGCCTGTTTAGCCCTTAGCATCTGGATTAACAGAAAATGCTTGAGCATGCTGTCTGTTAATGCGAGATTCATGACCCAACCAATGCAGCCTCGCCTGCCAAAGTCTCATTGATTATATTCTGGACTGATATTTTAGGTATCTGTAAGGTTTTAATACAATCTTGTTTGGTTCAATAGAGGGGATCATAGGCAGGCCAGCCTTAATTATAAGCCAGAACAGACGGTCCTTTAAATCTATATATACAAGGGAAATTTCTGAATGTCTCTGTTCAAAATGTTTAGCATACTTCCCGACATGCAACAAACTTGAAATTTGCCATGTCGGTACTTTCCAGACTATACACCATGCAAAAATTATAAAAATAGACTTTGATATATATTTTTTTGGGAGGGGGGGAGGGGGCGCAATAATGCACATATTTTGCACGGCAAGTGAGCTGTCACGTCACTTCTCTCATATGACCCGTATGCGGAAGTGTAACGGAGTGTGCCTGCTCATGTCACGCCTCCCCCCCAACCCTCCGCGGGCACAGTGCCATACAAATGTGTTGCAGGTCTAAGGCGTTCTTCGCGCAGCATTGCCTTATTATTTCAGTCATTTACTGCCGTACGCACCCTGAAAGTTGTGTCTGCAGCAAGCGCGTGTATGTGTACCTATGGATGCGCACACGTGTGTGTGGGGGGCGAAGAGGTAGTGTAATGGTTAGCGCGCTGCACTACGAACCCGGCGAACCGAGTTCGATTCCCGCTCACGGCCGCCACCGGTGACGATTATTTGAACCAGTACTGGGCCTCCCCTAGGTCGACTCAGCCTTAAACGAGTAACTGGTGTGGTGTGTGAACATCGCCACTGGGGAGACAAAGGCGGTCCGGCGTGGTGAATCCAAGTCCTGGGCGAAGCCGGGTAGTAAAGCTAGTAAGTTCATATTTTGCATCCACAGAGATATTCTATATTGATATCACTCATGGAACGATGCCTGGTGGCTAGGTGACCCACGTAACCCATTTGGGCTCAGCCTGGAATGGCTACGTGGCACCGTCCTGTGTGTCCACAATCCACAGGACGAAGGGTGAGAGGCGGGTGCGATGCCAGTATGGCAGGGAGAGGGATGGTCTCAGACAGACGAGACTTTGGCGATGGACAATCACAGCTTTGCATGGAGCAAAAGTCCAGGCAGCTTCCACGCAGCGTTACACAGTCTAATGAAAGAATGCTGTTGGACAAATTTTAAGTGAGACTTTGGCTGCCAAACCAGAGCTGGTCGTGAACACATTAACCAGGCATAGAAGCTCCTTTGTAAAACTGCCTGATTACTCATGCAGAGTTGATCGAAACGTCGTGATTGTTTTTTGTTTTAATATAATTTTATTGTATTTCTACATACGTGACTTTACCGAAAAAAACAATGAGTAATTTTATGCAGTCACGAAAGCTTGAATACTTTATCACACTTCTACCGGGAAGTCACCGTTGTAATTATGTGTAAGATATGCCCTTTTTGAGCTGCCGTTTTGTATTTACAAGAGGTGGTCATTTTTTGAGCTGCCGTTTTGTATTTACAAGAGGTGGTCCTTTTTTGAGCTGCCGTTTTGTATGTGTAAGATGTGCGTGTTTGAGCTGCCGCTCTCGCTCTGGCCCCTCCCCCCCCTCCAACCGTATTTCCTATTTAAGCTTCTGTTCATCCCTCTGCCCCCCCCCCCTCTCTCTGCCTCCCTGTCCGTCTTTCCTCCCTCCTTACCTCTTGGTGGACTTGTATATGTATTTCTACCGACCGTGTACCTCGTATTTTTCATTCTATCTATGCTGGTATGTGCAATCCAAAGGTTGAACACGAAATTTAACACTCTTCTGAAATTCGTGGTCCGCCAGGAAGTGTATGTGTTGTTGGCCTGACTGGATGTGCTTCACATGTTTTTTCAGGTTTTTTGAATTCTCATCTTTTTGTTGTATTTACCTCCGTGATTTGTTCTTGACACCTGACGAAGATCACTTGCGTTGTGATCGAAACGTCGTGATTGTTTTTTGTTTTAATATAATTGTATTGTTTTTCTACATACGTGACTTTACCGAAAAAACCAATGAGTAATTTTATGCAGTCACGAAAGCTTTAATACTTTAACATCATTGGACCTCCTTTGCCAGTACCAAAATATAATAGGGGTTTTCCCCTTTTTTCTGGCAACAAAATTTAAACCTTTTTTTACGAGGATTCATGTCTGCATTAACCACAATACTTGCAGTCAAAATGCAAAAAAACACACCACTCTGATAATATATGCATTGTCCTTGAATCTAATTGGTCCACACCAGATACAGCTTTCTTTAGAGCCTCGTCTCAATTGGTGCTAGACCAGATGACGCCAATAGGCGTACAGCTCAACGACAATGCACAATGGTACTGGCAAAGGAGGTCCAATGATGTAGATGCTTAACCCCGAGCCCTCAATACTTTTGATAGTGCATTGTCGGTGAGTTGTACGCCTTTTGGCGTCATCTGGTCTAGCACCAATTGAGACGAGGCTCTAAAGAAAGCTGTCTCTGGTGTGGACCAATCAGATTCCAGGATAATGCATATATTATCTGAGTGTGTTTTTTTTGCATTTTGACTGCAAGTAGTGGTTAATGCAGACATGAATCCTCGTAAAAAAGGTTTAAATTTTGTTGCCAGAAAAAAGGGGAAAACCCCTATTATTAATATACACACATTTACAGGCTTCATTGGCAGAATTCAATTATTCTAATAAAGCCAGCAAGACATTTTCTTAATGTTTTATTACTGAGACCTGAGCTAAGCCGGGTAACTTAGTTATTACTGGAAAAATACTATACTTCCGATGAAGTTTGTGCGTGAGTGGGGAGCGGTAGTGCAACATTTAGCGTGCTGCGCTATAAACCCAGCGAGCCTATTTATATTCCCACAGAGCCAAGCCACAGCATTTGGCTGTCGCCTGATGAAGCTGGTTGTAATTACTGTCAAAACGTTATACTCAAGATTGTAAATGTTGTGGCTTGGCTCTCCAACACACCGATGTGCTGTACTAGTGACGCATGGCCACATTCTGTTCACGTGACAACCTCTTACTAATTGGCTGTGTCGGGTGGTGGTGGTGGGGTTAACGGAACATTTATTTATTAACGCGATCTAACACAAACAAACCTATTATGGCTGTATATTTGGAGTTTGCGTGTCTCTCTCTCCGTGGTCGCGTGGATTTTCCTCCGGATCCTGCGGTTTTCCCCTGCACATTTAGAGTCAACATCACCACGCGTTTAGAGTATTTGACCGACAAACATTTCCACAAGTTGATAAGCCCACTGTGTTGTGGGCAGGTCGCTTCTGAAAACAAAAGCGGTGTAGCTCAAGTGGGCTATGCCTGGTAAAATAAAAACGTAGAAATATTTAAAATAAAACAAAGTTTCAAAGTAGTGAGCCAGGTGAAGACAAATTAAACTTAAGCAGATAATTAATGCAATCAGGCAAGGGCAGGAGGCAAGGCCCTGCGCTGTAATGTTCCAACCTGGACATCGATTCCATACTCGCTGCTACTCAAGTGACATCCCTACGAGAGGGAGGAGCGAGGCTCTTCCTGGGTCCACAACAACAACCACCACCACAACAACAACCACCACCACAACAACCACAACAACAACCACCACCACGATGAAAATTTCTCACCTCGGATCTCAGTGAGCGCACGAGCAGCAGCTAAATAGTAACTCGTGACGTCATGCGGCAGCAAGTGACATGACGTCACTTGCGGGGTTCACACAATCCCCGCCCCCAACGAGCAGCAGGGTAACTGAATAGATAATTTCGATTTAAAGCTTTCGTGACTGCAATGATTCATCTTCTTTGGTTCTTTCGGTAAAGTCACGTAGAATGAGAATAAAATAATAAATTGATAAAATAAAATAACACAATAATATTCTCACGACGTTTCGGCCACAACACAAGCGGCCTTCATCAGGTGAAGGGAGCGAGACTGTCTGGTAGGACAGCGCTGGAGTGAGAGAGCCACGTTCAGATCACGGCTTTTAAGCTGTGTGAGAGGAACAAAGAGCCTTGACGAAGGAATTAGCATAAAATTTAGCATTGAAAAGGCTGAATGATTAGCTTGTGACTGGTCACAGAAATAGCTATGTTAAAAGTTAAAGCATACACATCCGCAGAGGCACCCATTGTTAAAAGGAATTAGCATAGAATTTAGCATTGAAATAGCTAAATTAAGGCATTCGCTTGTAACTGCTACAGAAATAGTTACGTTGAAGTCAGAGCATACACATTCACCGAGGCACTTAGTACAAATCAAAACAGGAGAATTTAGCATTGAAATAACTAGGCGAATTTAGCATTGAAATAACTGGGTGATTTGCTATTGACTGGTCACAGAAATGACTACACATCTGAGCTATTCACAGTACTATATAGTGAACCAATAAAAACTAAAATATAAATTACCTTCATGTTATCAATAAACTCTATATTCTCCAATCAGCTAAGCTACCAACCATAAGTCGTTATATATCACAATGCTATATGGCGAAAAAATGGGTGGATTCTTACCCTCAAATTTCCGTACCACGGATAGCTACGGGCCCCGTTCAGACGGACGAGTTCGTCCATGGTCGGAACAGAGGAGGGGGGAGAGAGACAGCTGCGAAGCCCTAGTATACTCCATGTTGTAAACCATACCATTAACCGTGGTGTGAGAGGTATTAAGAGGCAATGCTGGCGAAAGAGCTGCGGTCTGAAGGTCATCGTAAAATTACAATTAATTAAGAACAGAAATGATTTAACACATCTTTCCAGTGGTTACTGAGCCTGAATCCATCTTCTCGGTTGAAATTGTCTCTGTGCTTGTATATGTGAATGGCCTCATGAACGAATCTCTCATGGTAGCCAGTTGGTTTGCAAAGAACCTCCGTCTTGGAGAAGTCAATGTCATGTGAGCCACTGAATTGTAACAGTGATCTGCCACGGCAGAGGAGTTCGTCTTACCGTGTTTTCAAGTCTGCTTTATGTTCGAGGATGCGATCCGAGATATGTATTTTGGTTTCTCCAATGTAGCTACTACCACAGAGGCACTTAGTTTGTAAACGCCCGGGTACTGTATGTCTGGAAGAGCATCTTTTACAGATGGAACTAAATCACGGATTTTGTGTACTGTGTTGAATCGGACCTGGATCTTGTGTTTATTCAGGATTTTGGAGATCTTTTTAGTGACCCCTGCAATGTAGGGTAAGGTGATGGTTTTGAGTGGCTCCACAAGAGGATCCTTCTTCATGACTGGAGTGATGGCTTTGCGGATTGTGTAGTCGGAGTAGCCATTAGCCCTGAGAGCCTGGTGTACGTGTTTGAGTTCACTGGTAATGTGTTCCTGGTCGGAAATGCATTGGGCTCTATGGTATAGAGTCTTGATGAGGCAGTTCTTCTGGGATGGATGGTGGTGGGAATCCTGTTTCAAGTAAGCATCTGTATGGGTAGCTTTCCTGTAGACAGAGTGGCTCATTGAACCATCATGTCTCCTTTTAATTAAGACATCCAGAAAGGGTAGTTTGCCATCTTTTTCGACCTCCATGGTAAATCTGATGGCTGGGTGTATGGAATTGATGTGGTCGCGGAATTGGTCTAGAGCAGGCTGGCCATGTGGCCATATGACAAAGGTGTCATCAACGTACCTCTTCCATAAGGTCAGGCGTAGAGTGGCAGTCTGGATGGCGTCAGTTTCAAATTTTTCCATGAATACGTGGCTACAACCGGAGATAGGGGGGAGCCCATTGGGTGCCCTCAGTTGTTGTAGAAAGTTCCATTCCAGGTGAAGTACGTGTTGTTAAGAAATGTCTCACCAGGGGGGGTACATCAGTATGCAGTCCTTGATGAACCAGGTCTTCAATGATAGCGATGGTGTCAGGTACCGGGACTTTGGTGAACAAGGACACCACATCAAAAACTGACAAGCAGGTCGTTTGGGGACAGGGAAATGTCTTTGATTGTCGATACCAGGTGAGTAGAATTTAGTACCGCAGAGGTGGTTTTTCCAGTGAAAGGTCGCAGTATATCAGCCAGAAAAACGTGCCAGTTTGTAGGTGGGGGAGCTGATAGTAGAGACGATGGACGAAGGGGTGTATCTTCTTTGTGTATCTTTGGAAGGCCATATAATCTTGGTGGTCTGGCAGCAGAGGGTTTCAACAAGAACTGTTTGTTCTCATCAATTAATGCTGTTGAATCAGAGATAATTTTGTTCGTTTTGGTGACCAGGCTGTTGGTGGGATCTCTTTTATTTTTGTATAGCTGCCATCGTTGAGTAGTTCTTGAATTTTGTTGTTATATTCTGTTTTGTCCATGATGACAGTGGCATTGCCTTTGTCGGCTGAGAGAACGACAATATCATCCCTCTTTTTTAATTGAGATAATTTAAAACGTTCGTCTTTGCTGATGTTGCTAGGTGGCAACTTAGCGTTTTTGAGGGTTGCAGCGATTTCAGATCTTGCTACGTCTGCAGAGATGTGACTCAAGCCCTTGAGTGCAACGTCGACATGGGCAATGATATCATTAACCGGTAAGTGTCTCGGTGTGACAACAAAGTTTAGACCTTTAGCTAAAACGGATTTCAGACCATCAGAAATGGAACTGTTACTGCGATAATTACGACTTTGTTGACGTCTATCTTTTCGGTGTGTGGATCCGATTTTTTGCTGGAGAGGTGATTGAATTTGGAAATCAAATTGTCCCTACATTTGTTCGACATAGTGGCAGCCGAAGAGGTAGTCATATTGTCTACATGTTCCCAATCCGATGTAGACATTGTTGCTGTCAATTTTAAGTGTGATTTGTAGAGTGTCTTGTCTAACTGATCGAGTTCGGTGCGTGTAAGTCTGATTTTTTCCGAGATAAGAGCGAAGCTAGTTCTAGCTAGAATTCGTTTTGCATTGAGGGAAGTTGCAACAGCAGAGGTTAGTGTAAATGCGGTTGGTATTACCTTAGAGTCGCGGCATCTCTTAGAGTCGCGGCATCTCTGTTGAATCGGACCTGGATCTTGTGTTTATTCAGGATTTTGGAGATCTTTTTAGTGACCCCTGCAATGTAGGGTAAGGTGATGGTTTTGAGTGGCTCCACAAGAGGATCCTTCTTCATGACTGGAGTGATGGCTTTGCGGATTGTGTAGTCGGAGTAGCCATTAGCCCTGAGAGCCTGGTGTACGTGCTGAGTTCACTGGTAATGTGTTCCTGGTCGGAAATGCATTGGGCTCTATGGTATAGAGTCTTGATGAGGCAGTTCTTCTGGGATGGATGGTGGTGGGAATCCGGTTTCAAGTAAGCATCTGTATGGGTAGCTTTCCTGTAGACAGAGTGGCTCATTGAACCATCATGTCTCCTTTTAATTAAGACATCCAGAAAGGATCCTCTTGTGGAGCCACTCAAAACCATCACCTTACCCTACATTGCAGGGGTCACTAAAAAGATCTCCAAATCCTGAATAAACACAAGATCCAGGTCCGATTCAACACAGTACACAAAATCCGTGATTTAGTTCCATCTGTAAAAGATGCTCTTCCAGACATACAGTACCCGGGCGTTTACAAACTAAAGTGCCTCTGTGGTAGTAGCTACATTGGAGAAACCAAAAGACATATCTCGGATCGCATCCGCGAACATAAAGCAGACTTGAAACACGGTAAGACGAACTCCTCTGCCGTGGCAGATCACTGTTACAATTCAGTGGGCTCACATGACATTGACTTCTCCAAGACGGAGGTTCTTTGCAAACCAACTGGCTACCATGAGAGATTCGTTCATGAGGCCATTCACATATACAAGCACAGAGACAATTTCAACCGAGAAGATGGATTCAGGCTCAGTAACCACTGGAAAGATGTGTTAAATCATTTCTGTTCTTAATTAATTGTAATTTTTACGATGACCTTCAGACCGCAGCTCTTTCGCCAGCATTGCCTCTTAATACCTCTCACACCACGGTTAATGGTATGGTTTACAACATGGAGTATACTAGGGCTTCGCAGCTGTCTCTCTCCCCCTCCTCTGTTCCGACCATGGACGAACTCGTCCGTCTGAACGGGGCCCGTAGCTATCCGTGGTACGGAAATTTGAGGGTAAGAATCCACCCATTTTTTCGCCATATAGCATTGTGATATATAACGACTTATGGTTGGTAGCTTAGCTGATTGGAGAATATAGAGTTTATTGATAACATGAAGGTAATTTATATTTTAGTTTTTATTGGTTCACTATATAGTACTGTGAATAGCTCAGATTTGTAGTCATTTCTGTGACCAGTCAATAGCAAATCACCCAGTTATTTCAATGCTAAATTCGCCTAGTTATTTCAATGCTAAATTCTCCTGTTTTGATTTGTACTAAGTGCCTCGGTGAATGTGTATGCTCTGACTTCAACGTAACTATTTCTGTAGCAGTTACAAGCGAATGCCTTAATTTAGCTATTTCAATGCTAAATTCTATGCTAATTCCTTTTAACAATGGGTGCCTCTGCGGATGTGTATGCTTTAACTTTTAACATAGCTATTTCTGTGACCAGTCACAAGCTAATCATTCAGCCTTTTCAATGCTAAATTTTATGCTAATTCCTTCGTCAAGGCTCTTTGTTCCTCTCACACAGCTTAAAAGCCGTGATCTGAACGTGGCTCTCTCACTCCAGCGCTGTCCTACCAGACAGTCTCGCTCCCTTCACTGATGAAGGCCGCTTGTGTTGTGGCCGAAACGTCGTGAGAATATTATTGTGTTATTTTATTTTATCAATTTATTATTTTATTCTCATTCTACGTGACTTTACCGAAAGAACCAAAGAAGATGAATAGATAATATTTTTGATTTAAAGCTTTCGTGACTGCAGGGATTCATATTCTTGGTTCTTTCGGTAAAGTCACGTAGAGGGGAAACTATTAAATAAAAAAACACGTCAAAAAACCGCCACTTTTTTCAAAATTTCTTGCTGTGGTTTTCACACCTGATGACGATTGCTTGTGTTGCAGTGGAAACGTCGTGAGAATGTTGTTTTATATTTTTATTGTTTTATTGTTTCCCTTCTACGTGACTTTACCGAAAGAAACAAGAATATGAATAGATTATCTTAATGAGCAGGGCCCATGTCAGGTGATGGGGCTTGGCTGCTGAACCCGTCGCAATGAACTCGCGACGGTATTTATGAATAAATTATGTTAATGAGCCGCCAAAAACTGTAGCTTTGCCCAAATAAGCATTTTACTGGAACGAAAATCGGCAGCGACCAACCATACGTGACGTCACGCTCAAAATCCCGGTGGAGGGGGATTCGGGGGTGTGAATACCTTCGTGACATGACGTCACTAGTGGGGGACACCTCCCCCTCGCGTCTCACGCCGAGTTTACGAGTGGTGACGTCAGAGAGCGAGATCAGGGTCAGAGTTCTACTTTATTTAGATTCCATTTCTCTGGCCCCCTATCTTAAACAGAGACCCCTTCCGTGCATTAACAGTGTGTGTACACTGCGTACACTGTGTGTGTGTACACTGTGTGCACAGCGTTTGTGCACAGCGTGTGTACACTGTGTGTGTACACTGTGTAGTGTGCGTGTACACTGTGTGTACAGTGTGTACACTGTGAACCTTGTGTGCACTGTGTGCATTGTGTACACTGTGTGTACTATGTGTGTACACTGTGAACACTCACCCTTAACCATCTACTGGGTCTCCATTTGACTTTGTATTGTCTAAGAAGTCCACCCACACCTCCACTTCCACAAACTGCTGGGAGTTGCCTCGCTCTGCCTCACAGACAGAATTCTCCTCCTGCTTCACGTTGCCTCCATCGATGTGAAGGTCCCATTTTGGAGTTGAATCTTCATCTTCACAGTTTATCGTAACTTTTTCGCTCTTCACCTTTTCACATTTCACCTTCGGTTCTTCACATTTCACCTTGATACCTTTAAAAGTGTCCAAGCTGACATTTACTTCTGATTCTGGTTTCATGAGGGATGGGCTCATTGCAGCACTTTGACTTTCACAAGCCGATTTCAGACTCCACTCCTTGTGGATCTTTTGATGCTTGTGTGTTCTCTGGTGCGTTTGAAGATGTGGTTGCTGTGCAAACGCCTTCCCGCACAGAGTGCACCTGAAAGGTTTCTCTCCCGTGTGTGTTCTTTGGTGGTTCTGAAGATGTGGTGACTGTGCAAATGCCTTCCCACACAGAGTACACCAGAAGGGTTTCTCTCCCGTGTGTGTTCTCTGGTGGTTCTGAAGAACTGCTGGCCATGCAAATGCCTTCTCACAGACAGTGCACTTGAAAGGTTTCTCTTTTGTGTGTGTTCTCTGGTGTTGTTTAAGATCTGATGACCATGCAAATACCTTCTCGCACAGAGTGCACCTGAAGGGTTTCTCTCCTGTGTGTGCTCTCTGGTGTCGTTTAAGATCTGATGACTGTGCAAACGCCTTCCCGCACAGAGTGCACCTGAAGGGTTTTTCTCCTGTGTGTGTTCTCTTGTGTAATACAAGAGCAGATGACTTTGCAAATGCCTTCCCGCACAGACTGCACCTGAAGGGTTTCTCTCCCGTGTGTGTTCTCTTGTGTAATACAAGAGCAGATGACTTTGCAAATGCCTTCCCGCACACACTGCACCTGAAGGGTTTCTCTCCCGTGTGTGTTCTCTGGTGTGTTTGAAGATGTGGTTGCTGTGCAAACACCTTCCCGCACAGAGTGCACCTGAAGGGTTTCTCTCCTGTGTGTGTTCTCTTGTGTAATACAAGAGCAGATGAATGTGAAAACGCCTTCCCGCACAGACTGCACTTGAAGGGTTTCTCTCCCGTGTGTGTTCTCTGGTGGTTCTGAAGATGTGGTGACTGTGCAAATGCCTTCCCACACAGAGTGCACCTGAAGGGTTTCTCTCCCGTGTGTGTTCTCTGGTGGCTCTGAAGAACTGATGGCCATGCAAATGCCTTCTCACAGACAGTGCACTTGAAAGGTTTCTCTTTTGTGTGTGTTCTCTGGTGTTGTTTAAGATCTGATGACCGTGCAAATACCTTCTCGCACAGAGTGCACCTGAAGGGTTTCTCTCCTGTGTGTGTTCTCTGGTGTTGTTTAAGATCTGATGACTGTGCAAACGCCTTCCCGCACAGAGTGCACCTGAAGGGTTTCTCTCCTGTGTGTGTTCTCTTGTGTAATACAAGAGCAGATGAATTGGAAAATGCCTTGCAGCACAGACTGCATCTGAAGGGTTTCTCTCCTGTGTGTGTTCTCTTGTGTAATACAAGAGCAGATGACTTTGCAAATGCGTTCCCGCACAGACTGCACCTGAAGGGTTTCTCTCCCGTGTGTGTTCTCTGGTGTGTTTGAAGATGTGGTTGCTGTGCAAACGCCTTCCCGCACAGAGTGCACCTGAAGGGTTTCTCTCCTGTGTGTGTTTTCTGGTGTGTTTGAAGATGTGGTTGCTGTGCAAACGCCTTCCCGCACAGAGTGCACCTGAAGGGTTTCTCTCCTGTGTGTGTTCTCTGGTGCAATACAAGAGCAGATGAATGTGAAAACGCCTTCCCGCACAGACTGCACTTGAAGGGTTTCTCTCCCGTGTGTGTTCTCTGGTGTGTTTGAAGATGTGGTTGCTGTGCAAACGCCTTCCCGCACAGAGTGCACCTGAAGGGTTTCTCTCCCGTGTGTGTTCTCTGGTGGTTCTGAAGAACTGATGACCGTGCAAATGCCTTGTCACACACAGTGCACTTGAAGGGTTTCTCTCCTGTGTGAGTTCTCTTGTGCTGTGTCAAATGTCCAGTTTGATCCGTGCTGTATGCACACTGGTCGTATTGTTGCCTTTTTGAACCAAGCCGCGCCGAGTGCCTTTGCTCCATCAGACCAATTCTGCAGAGGGTGTGTCAGCTGCAGACAGAAAAAAATATCCACACCATCTACGTCAGTATCGAGGTACAGAGGAATGCATATATACACAGTCACACATGACTTACACGTCTATACTAATTCATATGATCATGATATAGTGAAAAAGATTCCCAATTCATCACACGGGCTGTTATGACAAACAATGAGAGGGCAAATGGTCATAAATAAGCCTGGAAGCCCAAGTACCTTCAAAATGAATGTTAACTCAAAACACCAAGCACACAATTTCAGTTGTCTGGCTACAAAAGGAATATTTATGAAAGCTAAATTCAGCTAACATAGCAAAGGGTGTTGAAACTAATACTATTTTTATTATGCAGAAATGCATAAATTAATGTTCAATCACATCTTAGAGGTATTCCTTGAATGCTGGGATGAATAGATCTAACTTCAGCTGCATATGTGCTGTCTTAATTTCCTATTTCCATTCTTAGAAAAAAGTTCCAGAGGAAAACAAAAATAAACTATTGTTTTGATTCAACCTCCGTGTTCAATAGAGTTAATATACATTACTGCAAACACAAACTTGACACTGTCACACACTGGCATGGTAAAAAGGTAGTGGTGTGTTCAAAACCATGCCTGCATATATTATCAGTGTGTTTTTTGTTTTCATATTGATTGCAGGTATTGTGGTTAATGCAGACATGAATCCTTGTAAAAAGGTTTCAGTGTTGTTGCCAGAAAAAAGGGAAAAAAACCCTATTATCTCATTGTTGTTGCAGAGCAAATACCTCCAAATGCCCTGCAGCATATGTTATGGGCCTCTTCAACAGAGGCTGATTTAGACACTCCAGGTACCAGTCATCAGCAGGTCTGATCACCTCCACATCCTCCAATCTCTTCTCTAGCCAATGCCATGCCTGTTTAGCCCTTAACATCTGGACTAACAAAAATGCTTGAGCATGCTGTCTGTTAATGCGGGATTCATGACCCAACCAATGCAGCCTCGCCTGCCAAAGTCTCATTGATTATATTCTCTACTGATATTTTGGGTATCTGTAAGGTTTTAATACAATCTTGTTTGGTTCAATAGAGGGGATCATAGGCAGGCCAGCTTTAATTATAAGCCAGAACAGACGGTCCTTAAAATCTATATATACAAGGGAAATTTGTGAACATGTCTCTGTTCAAAATGTTTAGCATACTTCTCGACATGCAACAAACTTGAAATTTGCCAAGTGGGTACTTCCAGACTGTACACCATGCAAAATTTGTAAAAAATAGACTTGTGTATCCTTTTTTTTGGGGGGGGGGGGGCGCAATAAGTGAGCTGTGATGTCACATCTCTCATGTGGCCCGTATGCGGAAGCGTAACGGAGTGTGCCTGCTCATGCCCCCCAACCCTCCACGGGCACAGCGCCATACATATGTGTTGCAGGTCTAAGGCGTTCTTCGCGCAGCATTGCTTTATTATTTCAGTCGTTTACTGCCGTACGCACCCTGAAAGTTGTGTGTGTCTGCAGCAAGCGCGTGTATGTGTACCTATGGATGCGCACACGTGTGTGTGTGGGGGGGGGAAGAGGTAGTGTAGTGGTTAGCGTGCTGCACTACGACCACCACCGGTGACGATTATTTGAACCGGTCCTGGGCCTCCCCTAGGTCGACTCAGCCTCAAACGAGTAACTGGTGTGGTGTGTGAACATCGCCACTGGGGAGACAAAGGCAGCCCGGCGTGGTGAATCCAAGTCCTGGGCGAAGCCGGGTAGTAAAGCTAGTAAGTTCATATTTTGCATCCACAGAGAAAGGAGTAACATCTGTGGCCAAGAAGACTCGCAGCTTTGTTCATTCGTTCATTTCTAAATCCTCTTGTCTTGGTGAGGGTTGTGGTGGCAGCACATTGAGTAGGGCAGTCCAGACCTCCCTTTCCCTGGCGACAGACTCTAGCTCTTCCTGGGGAATTCCCAGGCATCCCCAAGCCAGCCGAGTGACATATTCCCACCAGCATGTCCTGGGCCGGGCCCCGGGGACTTCCCCCAGTAGAACCTGTACCGGTAGAGTTCCAGGGGCAGTCTATTGGAGGGCCTCCTCACAGATATTCTATATTGATATCACTCATGGAACGATGCCTGGTGGCTAGGTAACCCACGTAACCCATTTGGGCTCAACCTGGAATGGCTACGTGGCACCGTCCTGTGTGTCCACAATCCACAGGACGAAGGGTGAGAGGCGGGTGCGATGCCAGTATGGCAGGGAGAGGGATGGTCTCAGACAGACGAGACTTTGGCAATGGACACTCACAGCTTAGCGTGGAGCAAAAGTCCAGGCAGCTTCCACGTAGCGTTACACAGTCTAATGAAAGAATGCTGCTGGACAAATTTTAAGTGAGACTTTGGCTGACAAACCAGAGCTGGTTGTGAACACATTAACCAGGCATGGAAGCTCCTCCACCACTTGTAAAACTGCCTGATTACTCATGGAGAGTTGAGCAGGCACAGTGCTGTCATTCATGCAGATTAAACGCCACATGGTCAACATGAGTGCCACTTAAATGCACTCGCATCTAAAGTCGGTGTCATTCTGACTGCTGAACATGGCACTCGAGGAATCATCTTGCAACTGAGGAACAATACCCTACACAGAAATGAAACACACCGATCCTACGATGCTCTTCAATGTCTACTGATTTTCTGGCAAGGTGATGATGGCTACAATTTCCTACTTCGCCAAACTGACCCAGCAACAGGCTTGCCAACACAAAAGATTTCCGCCATGGACTGCTTTGCCTTCAGAATCATGGTGCGAAACGGCAACTTCAATCTCTTCTTGAGACGCAAAGAGCTCTTCCACCAACTTTCTGTCGACATGTATGCCAAAATGGAAGCTTCATTCGATTAAACCCACCAGATGGCAAAACAGCCAACATTGTCTATCCTGAAGCTCTCCAAGGGCAACGCATTTAAAAGCTGTCCTCATTATGAAACAAACAAGCCCTGCGATTATATAACACAACCAAACACCGTGACAATATTCACACTTTTACAGGCTTCATTGGCAGAATTCAATAATTGTGATTAAGCCAGCATGGCAAGACATTACTCTTAATGTTTTATTACTGAGACCTGAGCTAAGCCGGGTAACTTAGTTATTACTGGATAAATACTATACTTCCGATTAAGTTTGTGCGTGAGTGGAGAGCGGTAGTGCAACATTTAGCGTGCTGCGCTATAAACCCAGCAAGACGATTTATATTCCCACAGAGCCAAGCCACAGCATTTGACTGTCGCCTGATGAAGCTGGTTGTAATTACTGTCAAAACGTCACTCAGATTGTAAATGTTGTGGCTTGGCTCTCCAACACACCGATGTGCTGTACTGGTGACGCATGGCCACATTCTGTTCACGTAACAACCTCTTACTAATTGGCTGTGTCGAGTGGTGGGGTTAACGGAACATTTATTTATTAACGCGATCTAACACAAACAAACCTCTATTATGGCTGTAAATTTGGAGTTTGCGTGTCTCTCTCTCCGTGATCGCGTGGATTTTCCTCCGGATCCTGCGGTTTTCCCCTGCACATTTAGAGTCAACATCACCACGCGTTTAGAGTATTTGACCGACAAACATTTCCACAAGTTGATAAGTTTCAAAGTAGTGAGCCAGGTGAAGACAAATTAAACTTAAGCAGATAATTAATGCAATCAGGCGAGGGCAGGAGGCAAGGCCCTGCGCTGTAATGTTCCAACCTGGACATCGATTCCATACTCGCTGCTACTCAAGTGACATCCCTACGAGAGGGAGAAGGAGCGAGGCTCTTCCTGGGTTCACAACAACAACAACAACCACCGCAACAACAACCACCACCACCACAACAACCACCACCACCACAACAACCACCACAACAACCACCACCACGATGAAAACTTCTCACCTCGGATCTCAGTGAGCGAGCGTGCGCAGAGCAGCAGCTGTCTGGTATCTCGTGACGTCATGTGGCGGCAGCAGGTGACATGACGTCACTTGCGGGGCTATTTCAATACTAAATTCTATGCTAATTCCTTTGTCAAGGGGTGCCTCTGCGGATGTGTATACTTTAACTTAGCTATTTCAATGCTAAATTCTATGCTAATTCCTTTGTCAAGGGGTGCCTCTGCGGATGTGTATACTTTAACTTAGCTATTTCAATGCGAAATTCTATGCTAATTCCTTTGTCAAGGCGCTTTGTTTCTTCTCACACAGCTTAAAGGTCGCGATCTGAGCGTGGCTTTTTTCACTCCAGCGCTGTCCTCCAGACAGTCTCGTCCCCTTCACCTGATGAAGGCCGCTTGTGTTGTGGCCGAAACGTCGTGATTTTTGTTATTTTATTTTTTACCTACGTGCCTTTACCCAATAGAACCAAAGAGTATGGATCCTTGCAGTCACGAAGCTTTAAATCTAGACTTGCGGGGTTCACACAATCCCCGCCCCCAACGAGCAGCAGGGCAACTCAATAGATTATGTTAATGAGCGGGGCCCATGTCAGGTGATGGGGAGTGGCTTTTTAACCCGTGGCAATGAACTCGCGACGGTATTTATGAATAAATTATGTTAATGAGCTGCCAGTGACTAATCGTAGTTTTGCCCAAGTAAACATTTTTACTGGGACGAAAATCGGCAGCGACCAACCAGACGTGACGTCATGCTCAAAATCCCGGTGGAGGGGGATTCGGGGGTGTGAATACTTTCGTGACATGACGTCACTAGTGGGGGACACCTCCCCCTCGCGTCTCACGCCGAGTTAACGAGTGGTGACGTCAGAGAGCGAGATCAGGGTCAGAGTTCAAGTTTATTTAGATTTCATTTCTATGGCTCCCTCTCTTGAACAGAGACCCATTGGGTGCATGAGCTCAACAACGTGAACATTATTGTGCGTGTGAACACTGTGTACATT